TTTTTAAATATTTGCCCGCTGGCTACTAGCGGGCAAATATTTAAACTGAAATCACGAAAAGTAATCATGAGAATGTATGACAGCTGTATGAACAACAATAAACAAAATTATTAAAAACTGGCTTGCATGTGCTCCTATATTTATGTTTTCTACTCCCTCGCTGACAGATGATATTTCACAGTTTTAACTGGATTTGTGTGATTCTTTGAAAATAGACATGTGCCAAACAGAACTATTCCCAGATATTCACTACATATGTCTGTATTCTTTTTTTTCCTGATGATGTTAATTTACATCAGAGAATATCGGCTGCATGTAATACATATGATGGGAGCATAAGACAAATGGGGGTGGTTTCTAACCACTGTAACAATTACTTTCAATAAAACTATACAATAACAATTTTATTCTATGAAATCGTTAAAAATAGCATATAGAGACTCATATAAAAAGTTTCAGAAAATTACATCCTGTCCAAATTCCCAAATGTTTAATGTAGGTAATTTATACAACATTGTTTGTTCCGTGGGTAAAGCACTCAAACTATTGCATACTAAATGAATACATAAAAAAAAATGATTATTTTGTTTGAAGTGTTACCCATAGTACAATAACAATCACCAGTTGCTTGCATGAGAATAATCCTTCAAATGTATAATAGTTATTATACTTATTATCATTGTCGTTTTTTCATAATTGTTAGTTATAAGTGTATGTCTGATCGTCCATACTTTTTCCGTAAGTTTTATATTTACTATGTTGAACGCAATGCAATGTTTTTTGTGTTGCTATTTTTTTATTTGTCTTTTTTTAATTAGAAACCAAAATAAAAAATACCATATAGGATTTTGTTTCTGAATTTTACTTTGGGTCTCGACTTCATTCCTTGTGATACATAAATGTTTCTCCATTTATGATAATTTGCAGTATTGGTCCTAGTTTTCAGCTGAGTTAATCTAGGCAGAGCAGGGCTTAACTCATTGGCTGAGTGCAATCATCTAATGCAGGGGTTCCCAACCCAGTCCTCAAGTGCCCCCTACCAGTCCAGGATTTAGGGATAACCCTGTTGTGTCTAGGGTGTTTTTGTTTTTTCTTTCTAAAAACACCTTAGACCTACACCTACACCATGTCTACAAATGCTCGCAGTTTAGGGAATAAGATCCATGAACTTGTGGCAATAATGGCAACTGATAGTGTAGATTTAGTCGCTGTTACTGAGACATGGTACAATGAGAAAAATGACTGGGACATAGCAATACCAGGGTACTCTTTATATAGGAAAGATAGGGAAGGCAAGAAAGGGGGAGGGGTGGCCTTGTATGTGAAGGATAGCATAAAATCTAGCCTAATAAAAGTTAGTGAGGCAAACATAGAGTCCGTTTGGGCTACGTTAGAATTTGGTAATCACACAGTAACTCGTGTAGGTGTGATTTATAGGCCCCCAGGACAAATTGAAGAGTTAGATAATCTACTAGTTGAGGAAATAGCTAAAATGACAATGAAGGGGGAAGTTATCATCATGGGTGACTTTAATCTTCCTGATGTAAATTGGAAAACAAAATTAGCTACTTGTGCCAGGAGCACACATATTCTAAACTCCCTACTGGGATTGTCTCTAAAACAAGTTGTTGAGGAGCCAACTCGTAAAGAGGCCATACTAGATTTAGTGTTAACAAATGGAGATTTGGTATCAGATATTACTGTAGGTGAAAGTTTAGGATCCAGTGATCATCAGTCAGTGTGGTTTAATATAAGAACAGTGACTGAGTCACACCACACAAAAACAAAAGTTTTAGACTTTAGAAAAACAGACTTTTCTAAAATTAGAATATGGGTAGAGGAGTCATTATCAGACTGGAGCAATTTAAATGGAGTCCAAGAGAAATGGGATTATTTAAAAGTTGCACTATTGAAGGCAACAGAAAATTGCATTAGGCTTGTCAGTAAAAGCAAAAAATTCAAGAAACCACTGTGGTACTCCGCAGATGTGGCCAAAATAGTTAAAAACAAAAAGTTAGCATTTAGGAATTATAAAAAAAACCAGAGTGAGGAAGACAAAATGATCTATAAGATTAGGCAGAAAGAGGCTAAGCAAGTTATAAGAGCTTCCAAATCACACACAGAAGAGAAAATAGCACAGTCAGTAAAAAAGGGGATAAAACATTTTTTAGATACATAAATGAGAAAAGAAAAGTAAAACAAGGATTAGTTAGATTAAAAACAAAAGAAGGAAGGTATGTAGAAGAGGATAAAGGTCAGGCTGACTGCCTCAATGAATATTTTTGTTCTGTATTTACAGAAGAAAATGAAGGAAAGGGACCTCAGTTGAGAAAAAGGATAAATGAGTCATTTATTACACGTGAGTTTACAGAGGAAGAGGTTCTATTTCAACTGTCAAAAGTAAAGACAAATAAGTCAATGGGACCTGATGGAATACACCCAAAGCTATTAAAAGAGCTTAGTGGTGTACTAGCAAAACCATTAACAGATTTATTTAACCAATCATTGTTAACAGGAGTAGTCCCAGAAGATTGGAAGTTAGCGAATGTTGTGCCCATTTACAAGAAAGGTAATAGGGAGGAGTCGGGCAACTATAGGCCAGTAAGCCTTACTTCAGTAGTGGGGAAAGTGATGGAAACCATGTTAAAGGATAGGATTGAGAACATCTAAAAACACATGGATTTCAAGATCAGAGACAACATGGGTTTACTTCAGGGAGATCATGCCAAACTAATCTTATTGATTTTTTTGATTGGGTAACTAAAACTATAGATCAGGGTGGTGCAGTAGACATTGCTTACCTAGATTTCAGTAAGGCTTTTGACACTGTTGCACATAGAAGGCTTATCAATAAACTGCAATCTTTAAGTTTGGATTTAAATATTGTTGAATGGGTAAGGCAGTGGCTGAGTAACAGGCAACAGAGGGTTGTAGTTAATGGAATATATTCGAAGCTTGGACTTGTCACCAGTGGGGTACCTCAGGGATCTGTACTTGGACCCATTCTCTTTAATATTTTTATTAGTGATATTGCAGAAGGTCTTGATGGTAAGGTATGTCTTTTGCTGATGATACTAAGATATGTAACAGGGTTGATGTTCCAGGAGGGATAAGCCAAATGACAGATGATTTAGGTAAACTAGAAAAATGGTCAGAGTTATGGCAACTGACATTTAATGTGGATAAGTGCAAGATAATGCATCTTGGACGTAAAAACCCAAGGGCAGAGTACAGAATATTTGATAGAGTTCTAACCTCAACATGAGGAAAGGGATTTAGGGGTGATTATTTCTGATGACTTAAAGGTAGGCAGACAATGTAATAGAGCAGCAGGAAATGCTAGCAGGAGAAGTACTTGGTTAATAGGAAGGTATTAGCAGTAGAAAGAGGAAGTGCTCATGCCATTGTACAAGTTACTAATTGAGACCTCACTTGAGTGTAATACACAGTACTGGAGACCCAGTATCTTCAGAAGGATATGATACCTTAGAGAGGTTCAGAGAAGGGGCTACTAAGCTGGTTCATGGATTCTTGGGATAAAACTTACCAGGAAAGGGTTAAGGATCTTAACATGTATATAGCTTGGAGGAAGAGCGGACAGGGGGATATGATAGAAACATTTAAATATATAAAGGGAATCAACACAGTAAAGGAGGAGACTATATTTAAAAAGAAGAAAAACTACCACAACAAGAGGACATAGTCTTAAATTAGAGGGACAAAGGTTTAAAAATAATATCAGGAAGTGTTACTTTACTGAGAGGGTAGTGGATGCATGGAATAGCCTTCCAGCTGAAGTGGTAGAGGTTAACACAGTAAAGGATTTTTAAGCATGCGTGGGATAGGCATAAAACTATCCTAACTATAAGATAAGGCCAGGGACTAATAAAAGTATTTAGAAAATTGGGCAGACTAGATGGGCCGAATGGTTCTTATCAGCCATCACATTCTATGTTTCTAACTTGAAGGGAGAGCGAAAGACGAGGATTAGTATTAGGAGGAAGAAAGACAAGGAGCTCCGTTTTAGAGAGATTGAGTTTCAGAAAGCGGGAGGACATACAGTCAGAGATGAAAGATAAGCAAGCAGTGACATGTTGCAGGGGAGAGGTCCGGGGAGGAGAGATATAACTAGGTGTTTCATCAGCGTACAGGTGGTAGTGGAATCCAAAAGCGGTAATAAGAGAGGCAGTATAAAGAGAAAATAGAAGGGGACTAAGGACAGAGCCTTGGGGGCCCCAACCGAGACAGGATGAGGGGAGGAAGTGTCATTAGAAAAGGAGACCCTGAATGAGCGTTGGGAGAGATAAGAGGAAAACCACGAGAGAATAGAGACAGAGTGATTGAAGAGTTTGAAGAAGGAAAGCATGATCAATGGAGTCAAAAGCAGCAGAGAGGTCAAGAAGAATTAGTATGGAGTAGTGGCCTTTGGATTTAGCTATGTTGTTAGTAACTTTGATACGAGCAATCTCAGTAGAGTGGAGAGGGCGGAAGCTAGATTGAAGAGAGTCAAGGAGAGAGTTTAAATTTAGGAAGTGAGACACCCGGGCACAGACAAGTCTTTCCAGAAGCTTTGAGGAAAAAGGGAGCAGGGATATGGGACGATAGTAGAGGGGGAGGATGGGTCAAGAGATGTTTTTTTGTTTTTTTTCTCAATACTGCATGAATTATTCTAAATATTCAAATAAACCATGACCCATACAAATTGCATCTTTTGTTTATTTTCAATGTTGGTATGTAATGTTTGTGTGTCAGCTTGTTCATAAGTCCATCTTATTCTATAACTTTGTGCCACTTATTGATGGTTTCCAATAATTTTATAGTTCATGTTTTTTTGCACAATTGATGTTTCCTTGTAAAAATCCTTGAGTGCTGTGTGTTTTTGTTTCCTTTTTTCCCCCTAATTTGAATACTCTTTGTTATAGTTTTTTTTTTTTTTTTGTTAACCATTAGTCTTAGTAGAATTTTTATTTGTTTTGTATAGCAATGCACAGAATATTGACATGAACACTAGAAGCACTTACTATCAGTATGATGAAAGTTACAAATTGAGAAGAAGAAGTCCTTCAACACCACGGGAATCTACTAGCACTATGACTTATACTGCCAAGAAAAATACAGATAACAAGATGAAAGGCAATCAGAATTTAGATGTTGGTGAACGAGGTCGAGCAAGAAGCAGACATGATCCTGATAATGACAGAACCTCTGATGTTGAAAAAAATAGTGACTCCTATTATTCTGATGATTATGACAATACAACGTATGAGTCTGACCAGACACCAACACCAAGCTTTAAGTCTAGATCTCCGCGTGGTAAAAAGGTCAACCCAAAATTTAGGTCTTCTACACCAGAGCAAGGCAAAGGTTGGTATTCTGTTCTGTTCACATGTGAAGTAGGGTCTCAGAACAAGGACGCTGGCTGTGTAATCATGCTAAGTTTACAAGTAGGGGCTAAGTAAAGTATAATACAGAGCTTTGTACACGAGGCAAGGCTAGCAATGTAACTCCTAAATGTTAAAGAACTGAACACTGGGACGGCATGGCATGATCTATTCACCAAAAATATATAATTAAGTTAAAGTTCTTTTGGTGCTTAGAGTATCCCTTTAACAAAGTATCAAGTAGGAATGTGGTTGGTATTGCCAGAACTATACATTGTAAGTGAGAAGATGAGTTAATTGGATTTGGTGTGTGTAGAGCCACCCATCCATCCATAAGACTTTTGTTTACAATTTTTAGGTTGGGTTTAAAGGGTTACTCAAACACTTTTTAAAAAAGACCTATATTTAAAAACAAAACAAAAAAAAACCAACAACTTGGAAATGCCGTATTGGGCATTAATGGCTAGGTCACCCCTTTCAAACCTGCAAAAAGACGTGCTGAATCTTTCAGTCTGTTTCATTTCTGGTCTTCTGACTTTTTAGCATGACTTTTGGATGTGCTTGGATATGGAGACTTTCCTCTTTCTGGTATCTTACAAAATTTATTTTTAATTTCCTTTTTTTTATTTTTACATACATTTTTGTTATTGATAATGAAGAGGATATATGTTTTTAGTACAAAGTTGAACCTTGCAAACCTTGCACTGCATTTTCTTTTCACTGCTGTATTTGACAGGCATGTTGTGTATTGCTTATAAATGTACAGTTCCTTATTCCATGCCTGCTGCCACATGGGAGTGATAACATGAGGGAATAGTTAAAACATATGCCCCTGTTTTTCATGTGAGATCAGCTGTGGATTGTTACATTTCCGACAACAGGAGTTGAGTGTTATTAACACTTAAGAAGTTGTTATGGATTGTTAGATCCATTTTAGAAAATCATAATTCCTTGTTGATGTAGTTTATGTATGTTGTGGCCAGGGCCGGACTGGGAAAAAAATTAGACCCGGGCATTTTTTTAAATCACAACAGCCCACTGAAAAGGGGGGCGGGGCCAGATAGGGTGTGTTTTGTCATCCCCAATGACAAGCACACCCCATCTCAAACTGAGCATGTTGGTTCAATGCTCTTCCAGGGCAGACCATGCGCAGAGCTCTAGCATGAGAAAAAGGCCCTGTATTTGTTCTGCACAGCGCAA